CTCACAGAGAGCAGAAGACAAACCCCAGTTATTCCAATATCAAAAGTACTTTTGATCTCCAAACTGATATTTATGGCTTTTTTAAAGTAAATGTTCATTCATTGCATTTAACTAGCTTTTGATAATAAAACATGTACTAGCTAATGTATAATTTCAACTATATATAATAGCGATAAATAAGATTGTTCTCAATGTTGACTGCAGATAACAAACACAGACTGAGGTTCCTGACTGGTCCATAGGTTTTCTACTACTAAACACAAAATGGATAATAACCCATTAGAGAAAGTGAATTAACACCTGTGTTTCATGTTTTTGTTTATACTTCTGTTTCCAAAAGTATATACTGAAGTCAAAAGTTTTACCCTCATTATACCCCTTTTGGAAGAAAGATGTTTGCATTTCTCAAATATTTTAAAATTTCATGCCTTTTCTCGTCTAGTGGGCTCATAAAGTTTTTCTTGTCATTTCACTTCTAAACCTTTGATTAAACAGTACGTTTAATGAATCTGTCAATTATTCATCCCTTAGGTGCACCTGATTCAGCATTCTCACTTTAGCCATTTTCCATATTCCAGAAGCAACTGCAGAATATCAGTAAGACCAAAAATAAGAAATAAGTAGCGAAGTTGATTGCATATAATATTATAATTTTTCTAAATTCAAGTTTGAGGCTATGCTATTTCCATGTCTTTAAAAATTGATACTATGTTGGTTATGAAGCCAACAGATGCACACTGCATGTTGTGTTAGAGTTATCTTTATTGAAAAACAGTTTATGACTGCATTGCGACGGCAAAGAAATGCATATTTTGGTTCATGTTTAAGGTGTCATTTGTATTGTCATTCTTTCACGGATAAACTAAAATGGCCTGCATTTGTATTTGTAATTATCTTTGTATTTAGTCACTTTTTGCTTCATTGCATGTTTTTCTTTGTTTTTCTTTTCTCTGTCTTTGCAGCTTTTTGATTTGGTATATAGAGAAGAAACTCTGCTCAATGTCATAAAAAGTGTCACGCGCAACGGCCGCTCCATTATTCTAACTGCAGTCCTGGCTCTTATCCTTGTCTACCTGTTTTCCATTATTGGGTTCCTTTTTCTGAAGGATGACTTCACTATGGAAGTGGATAGGCTGAAAAACAGAACTCCTGTGACAGGTATTGCTGTTACCCACTAAATGAGCCTTCTCTGAAGGTGGCCATGGCTTGTACGTTAGCTTGTCAGGAGGATCACAGATAAACACTAATGGAGGCAATGCTTTCTTTCATTCCTTTGAAAACGTGTTCCTGTTCACTAAGAGCTCATGAATGTGAAATGCCCTTAGGCTGTATGTTAGCTGACAGTGTGCACAGGAAAATCCTTACACAAGAAACATCGTCTCAGCTCAGCCTCAGTACGAAAGTTTCAACCATGCTGACCATGCTCCAGGAGACAGGCAACAATTTCAGTGCAGAAGAATTGCTGTGGGGTTCTTTTCCTCCTTTTCCCTGTCTCCCCCAAGAACATCCAGCATTAATCACAGCCGTTATTTCATATATACTTGGTCACAGTGAATTATACTATATCTTAATTATTGAAAATTATAAATGCTTTGATCTGGAAACCATCAGATAGTTAGAAAATGTGATATAGGAAAAATGCTCAAAATAATGTCGTTACGGGGTTCAGTCCATCCGTACATGGCTGTCAGAATTGCTGTGGGATGTTTATTTTTGTTGTCTGATTGGTGAGACACCATCCTTTTACCCTGTGATTCTTGTGATGTGAGGGGTGATTCTTTCCATCTTACTTTGGATTTTGTGTTTATGATGTTCTCTAATGGTTTCTCTTTTCCCTCTTTCCTACACTTTGTTATTTTGGTTAAATTTCGCTCTTCCTCTTTTTCCTCCTCTCCTGCTCTGCTGGACAGCCATCGTAGTTCTGCGTCTTGCTGATAGTACACTCTGGGTGGTTCCACTGCCTATGGGTTGCAGAGAAGGGAAACCACAAAGTGATTCTCTGTCTCTTCAAACCATTAACTTTTTTTCTTTTTTCTTTCTGGGGAAAGGTAATTAGGCTTATTTATTTATTTATTTATTTATTTATTTATTTATTTGATGGCAGTACTGGGGATTGAACCCAGGACCTCATGCATGCTAGGCATGCACTCTACCAGTGAGCTATGCCTTCCCCCCAAACCATTAAATTTTAAAGCAGGATTTAATTAGTGATGCCTTTAGAATATGGGATAATTGAATGGTGTTTAAAGCTATTTGTAAGTCTAAATGATCAAAGCACAGAATAGAAACATCACATACCTAGACTGAAAGTTACTAAACTTGAGACTGAACATCAGACCTGGACAGTAGCCTTATTCGCAGACACATGGTGTATTTTCTGTTATGGCCTTTCTTGTTTTCCCTGAGATGTTACTTTGTCCAGAGTTTTACTGGTGTAAATGTTTGGAGGAAAAGCGTAGATACATATACACCCCCAAAACGCCACTTACACTGAACTATCTGTGAGTCACAAACTACCCCCTCTCAAAAATCTTTAATTATTTACTGGGGATGATCGCATTGGGTTATTCAGTACAGAGTGAGTCTGACACTGAAGCATCATAATTTCTGAATTCAAATGAGTAGAGTCCTTATAATGAATCTGATAATAAATAATTTTAATTGTGTTATTTAAAAAGCAAGTTAGTGTCATATTATGAATGTTTTCCTTAGACATATAAAAAAGTCTTCTTTCCTGTTTTTTACAAAATAGGCAGCATGATAATTAAAATGTCAAGATCTTCACTAAAAATATTTATGTATATTTATATAAAAAGCTGTTAAATAAGAAGAGAAAGCATTTGTCAATACTATGAAAATCTAGCATACAAGAGCAGCTAACAAAGTGAAACTCTTGATTCTTCCTAGATTCAGAGATTTTTCTTTCAGAGAGATATCATGCCCTGAAAAAAAAGCACTCATATTTTCATAATATTTTTAATTGAATTTCTAATGCTATATGTCATGTCTGTTGCTACACAGCATAAAGTTTATTCTTTCAACTATTGAACACTGCATTCTCCCAGAGTTGAGTGAAGGGGAGAGTATAGCTCAAGTGGTAGAGCACATGTTTAGCATGCACGAGGTCCTGGGTTCGATTCCCAATACCTCCATTAAAAATAAAAAACAGTAAGAAATAAATGAAAAGACCTAATGACCTGCCCCCCTCCAAAAAAAAAAACCCAACAAAAAAATACTATAAACCAAAGTGAGGTGAAATTATCAAAGATAACAGAACCTGGTAGCAACTGGCATTGCAGTGTAGAAGTTACAGTTCTTCAGTGAATGTGGAGAAGTCAGGGAGCAAAGAGAGGAGGCTGAGAGTCCTCGAGCTGGGAGCATCACAGGTGCACATGAGAGCGGAGGACCAATGATATGCACGTGGCCTTGGGAGTTTAGGACGATGCAGATCCTGTCTCCGGCACCAGCGGAATCTGGCTCTGCAGACACAGGAGCCTCCATGTGACAGTGTTCAGGGGAATCCGTGTCTCAGAAAAGCCCAAGGAGGAAAGGTTGTGCTGACAAGGGGAGGTTCCAGTCTCTCTCGCACTGCCCCTTCCTCCCCACGCTCAGGACTGCCCTCCTGTTTCTCACCTGCGCTTCCTCTCCCCAGGACACTGCAGGAACCTCCCCACCCGCCGCCTCTCTTCCACTTGCCCATGTCATTTATTCCAACCACTGCTCTGATTCTGCATCTTACGGGTTCAGAACCTTTGTGGGGACCTGCGCTGGCTGTGGGTTGCTTGGTTTAAAATCATTAGCCTAGAAGCTCTGCCTTGTCTGTGCCTTTTCTGGCCTCCGTGCCTTTTGTCAATACAGACTGTACCTGGACCTGCCCCTTTCCTTCCTGCCTCTTCCCATGGGTACATCCTGTCTCCTCTAGATGGGTGCTCCTCCAAAAGTCCTCCTATTTTTTCCTTTCTAGAATTCACCTCTCCGTCTCCTAATGCACCACCTCACTTCACCTGCACTCTGCTTCCTCCGTTCAGTTATATTTATGTCTGTACCTCTCCGTGTCCCTCCCTGATTGTGGGTTCTCCAGGGCCTCCCTTCTGGGCCTGCAGAGCCTAGCACGAAGTCAGTAAATATTTATTAATTAAGGGAAGGGCCACCGGGGAACACTCAGAAGCCCCACCTCTCTCCCTCTCTGACCACCTGACGCTCACTCCACACCCACTAGTTACACCCATCCTTTCCCCCATGGCTTGTCCCCGTCAGGGTGCAGGGAGAGGCGGAGGAAAAACCTGTGGCCTCCCATCCTCATGGACTCCAGCTCTCTCAGCTCAGTGCTGGCCCAACCCCAGGCCTGGGCCCTCCCCTCATCCCATGTCCCAGCTCCACCAACCACCTGCCATGTCCAACCTCACCACACAACCAGGCTGACCTTGGTGGGTGTTGCTCCGAAATGCACTGGAATATTTCTTCAGCGCTTTGTATATAAGAATGAACTTAATCCTCTTCCTCCTCCTCGGGGACTTTCCTTGATGGCTCCGTATGAAAAATAGGTTTGAGAGGAATGAGCTCCCTCACTTTGTATTCGTTACTAACAACAAATTTTTTTTCCATAAAACTTTTTTTACACAGACAGGAGGGTTACTTATTTTTTTCTTCTTTTTTTTTTAAGAGTTTTTGTTTTTCTTTTTAATTGAAGTGTAGTCACTTTACAATATTGTATCAGTTTCTGGTGTACAGCATCATGTTTTAGTCATACATATACATACATATATTCATTTTCTATTCTTTTCCATTATATGTTACTACAAGATACGGGATATAGTTCCCTGTGCTGTACAGTAGAAACTTGTTGTTTATCTATTTTCTGTATAGTAGTTAGTATCTGTAAATCTTGAAGTCCCAATTTATTCGTCCCCACCCTCTTTGCCTCCTTGTAACCCTAAGTTTGTTTTCTATGTCTGTGAGTCTGTTTCTGTTTCGTAAATAAGTTCATTTGCGTCTTTTTTGTATTTTCACTTTGTATTTGTTACTAACAGCGAACTGTTCTTTTTTTCATAAAACTTTCTTTTACACAGACAGGCAGGTTACTATTTTCTGTTGCATCTGGGCCAGGGCGGTGGGTGGGAAGCCAGCAAGCAGACGGATCCTTGGAGACTAAGGAAGAAAAGAAAGATCCTGAGCAGGGATCTGGCGGAAGATTCCTGCCGCCCTGAGATGTCTTTGCCCTGTTGCCTGGAGCCCCCACTCTACTGCTTGGGCTGCCGCCTCCTGCTGGTCTGCCTCAGCCGTGGGCACCAGCGGCTGAGAGCTGGAGGGGTACCAGCTGCGCTGGGGGAGTGCGTTCCTGGCATCTCCAAGCCAGAGCCCTGAATGCATTTGGCCATGGGAACACTGTTACACGCGGTGCTTAGGGCCGGTAGTGTTATGAATACTTTATCTCAGCCATTTTAAAAAGATGGGAAAGGCTTTTAGTGGGTTGGCCCATGAACGTATTCTCTGTTTGTAAAATTGCTTCAGTGGGCAAAACTGTGTTCAGAGTTCCAAGTAACTTAACCAACAACTTTAGGAGCACAGCTGAGTTAGTGACAGCGCCTTTTATTAGTGTGCCTTTGTAACTGGCTGTTCATTCCTTGTCACTTGCATAGTGGTCTCTGTACCGTGTCTACATTGTGTGTTCTCAGGTAGCAGTGCCGTTCCTACTATGACTTTAACCTCAATGATGGGAACATGTGAAAAGGACAACTGCTCACCCACGATACCGGCTTCAAATACAGGTCTGTGAAAAGGGCTCCCGAACCGTAGGGACTCGATACTTCTGATGTAATGTTTATTTGATTAATGTTATCACTTAAAGAGTTGCTCTAGGAATTTCACGGTGAGTTGAAATAGAAGATTGCAGGGTAAAAGAACCAAAAGTTTCAAACTAGAGGAAGGACTCTCATATCCATCATTTGTATCCTCACCCTGTTTCTTCCATTATTTCTATGCATGAGAATTTATCAGATTTACCGTGTGGTATGTGCTGCTAAGAATTCTGTTACCATATTGCAAAACCACTCCACGCTAAGCCAGAACCTTTTAACTGTATAGCCTTTAACTAAGATTGTATTGCCTTTAACAAAAGAATTCATCCTTTAACAAAGAATGGAAAACCATTGGTTTAGAACTCAGAAGGCTTGGTTATAATCCCTGACCCACTACTTTTTAGATCTATGTCTTGGATCTGTTATGCAAATTTTGTTCAGATGACTTGCCCAGAAAGAGAAGAAGGAAGGAAGGGATAGAGGGAGGGAGAGAGTGAAGGAGATAGATAGATGATAGATAGATAGATAGACAGACAGACAGATAAATAGATAGATAGGGAGTGAAGGAAGGAGGGAGGGAGAGAGAGAGATAGACAGACAGAGCACATGACTCTTAACCTTCCTCCAAAGGAACAAAGGGAACCATGCATTTAAAAAGAACTTTTAAACTCTAAATTGTTCTCTAAGGATGTGGCAGGAATTTGGAAACAACGGCATGTGTGAAATTTAATGAACTGTAGAACGAATTAGTGATCTGTTTCCAGAAGTAGCAAAGATTTAGGGAGTGTATGTCTCTAGATATTTCAAGAGTTTTATATATTTTTTTTTAAAAAAGGAATAGATTTAGTCTCTGTCACATGTACAAAGGGCAAAATTGGACTCAGGGAAAGAAGGAAGCAAGAGGCAAGCACAGTGTAAGGGTGGATCTCCCCCCTCTCCACCTGGAAGCACGTTGTTTGGTCTTAACAATGGGACCTTCTTTCACAAGTTGCTTTTTCCCTTGGGATGCTGGACTGTTGCTTGAGGAGGCATGGATATTACCTTCTTCTACTGACTAAAATAATTCATGGTTTGTGACCTAAAGGGAGAATTAAACATGTGCGTCCATTTCACCCCCACGTCCCTGTAGCTCTCGGCACAGTGGGCAGCCGCCACCGAGACTTCCTTCCTCCCTGACCTCCTGGGTCCCCAGTTCTGGCCCACAAACCACAGACCAGCTCCTTTTCCACTTGTGTAGCTTTACTCTGCTCTGCAGTTTCTAAAATCCCATGACAAGCATCCTGTGGCTTATACCCCTCCAGTTTCTCCAGCCTCCCTCACATATTACAGCAGCGACTCTTCACGTGACACTCCAGGCAGGAAGCTGTGTGGTGCTGTCGCATCCTGGGTCATGTAATTGGCAGTCACACCACACACTTGACCCACATTCGACTGACTCTTGGTTCAAATGCTATTCTTCCCTGGTTCAGCTGTCAACCCACAAATACCTATCCTGTCCTCATGTAATTGGGAGTTTGGGATTTCAAGTATGAAACCATGCGTTTATTTCTATATATTTCAGCCAATTTATAATCCAAGGCTGTCCCAAGGCTGTGAATAGATGAGGAGTTTTTTGACTAGATGATGTCTGGATTTCAGGTTCCTTACAGTAATCACGTGGGGTTCATGGTGTCTTTAGCAACCCTGATTCTGTTAAGCAGTATATTCATGCTCTCTCATACCATCCTAAAGTTTGATTAGCTCTAGAACAGGGGTTGGCAAACATGGCTCATGGGGAAATCTGAATCATCACCGGTTTCTGTACAGCCCTTGGGCTAAGAACGCTTGTAGCATTGTTTTAAGGGTTTTTTTTTCCCTCTTTAAAGAAAAAGATGCAGTGGACACTATATGTGACCTGCAAAGCCTAGAATATGTGCCATCTGGTTCTTTACAGAAAAAGAATATTCGGCCAACCTCTGCTCTAGAAGGTTTTATTAAAGGTACTGAAAATGCTCCATGGGGACAGTACTAAGGACAGAGTCCTTTGGCACGCTGCCACCGGACACAGGCTTTCAGACTGATTTAGTCACGTTTCATGCATTATTCACCCACGTAGAAGCCTGTCTTAAATAAACTATCGTTTAGCTCATGTTCCTCCATCTTAAAAAAAATCATGAGACTCTGTCTCAAACCTCCTCGCCAAAGCCCAGATACATAGTATTTGCCATATTGCCAATTTGAGGTTAGTCCGAAACCCATACTGGCTTGCCTTGATCAGCATCACACTGATCACACTGACGCCTTCCCACACTGCCCCGTTAATGCCACACTTAGGATCTTACCTGGGTGATGACCATCAACCTCATTTGTAGCAGCTTGCACAGTTTGTCATCATCTCAAATTCGCATCTACAGATGTTTCTCACCTCTTACCACTATCCATGATTCAAAAAATCCCAGAGAGCATTTCAAAAACTGCGACATAGCTGGATAAACTGAAATAGCTCTTAGAATATTTGCCTTGAATGTCAACTTATTGTCATCGATACTTATCTGCCCTTTTAAATTCATCACTCTTTCTCCTTGACAGAGTATGAAAAAAATAACGTGTTAAAAAATATACCTTCTTGTTAGCACGAATATTTAAACAGCACGGTCCCGAGTATAGTAAACCTATTCCTGTTTCGTTCTGTCTTTGAAGGTTACTTTTAAATTATTTCTTAAAAAAAAATACACTTTAACAGTGGTTTGTTTTTAAGAACAAAATATTGCTTTGCTAGTGAACCAACAAAGGAGGCTAGTGTTCCTCCTGCCAGAGCCTGTGAAGGCAGGGAACCCACAGGGCTGAGCCAGTGGTGCTGGTCACCCACTGCTCGGTCTTGAGAAGCTTTTAAGGTGCAGCGAGGGAGCTACCAGAGCCCGCTCCCCTAGGATGAGATCCTCCAGGTCACGCACGGTGTGAGCATGTCTCAGGATGCAGCTGCCCAGCTCTGCAATTCTGCAAATTTCAGGCTGTATACAGTTCCCCGGGCCTTGTTGTTGACTCTCTGTGGGGTCCTCTAGTGTAATTGTTTCATACGTCATTACTAATTGTGACATTTCGATCTTAACATTTAACAAAATGAAGTGAGTATTTTTGTAAAGATAGGAAATTAGTTAAGTCTGTTCCATGCAGATCCTCCATGGTGATGATGATGGTGATGATGATGATAATTACAAGAACCTTGTGTATTCATTCATTCATTCATTCATTCATACAGCAATATTTGTTGAGCCTCTGCCATGGGCCAGCCACCATGCTAGGCATTCAGGGCAGTATTGAATTAAAAAAATAAATAATCCTGGCCTTTATGGAACTTATGAAATAGGGAGGGAAGCATAAAAAGTTATTAAGTATGATATTGCCAGGGGTGCTGTGATTGGTGATCACGGGAGAGCCTGGCCGTAGAAAGATTAAGCAGACAGGCTTTTGTGAGTAGGGGTTATTTAAACTGAGACTTGGAGGACGAAAGGGGGCCATCCAGGCCGAGAGGAAGGAGACGTGTATTCCAGGCACAGGAAGCAGCACGAGTGAAGGCCCTGAGGCATGTCTCAGGGTAGACAGATGCTGCCAGTAACCATCCTCCTGCTCTACGTGAAAACACTGAGGGATCGAGCCCTTGAGTCAGATCACAGCTAGTAACTCGGTCTCTGTCTCTTGATTCCAAAGCCTGTGCTCCAACCTTCTAAATCTTATTACCTCCTAATTAAAGGATTACTCTCTATAAATTGCTTCTCCCCTATCTCAGATTTAGAGCTTGTTAAAATTCTGCCTGTTGTCACTGCCTTTCCCCTAGAATGCTTGGAAAGAGTTTCTGTGTGCATACTGTCATCTGCTGTTACGTATTTATCAGCTGGCATTGATTCTCCCCCCTTCCCCCTGCCCGGGGGACATCTGGCAATGTCTGGAGGCAGTTTTGGTTGTCATAACTCTGGGAGAAGTTCTACTGGCATCTAGCGAGTAGGAGCCAGGGATGCTGCTGAGTACAATGCACAGGACACCCCCCGCCCCCAACAAGAACGCATCCAGCCCCAAATGTCGGTAATGTTGAGGCTGGAGAACTCTGCTCTGTCCCAAGGTCTCTTTGAATATTGGTTTACAGCTCTGAATGTAAACGCATAACAGCCTTCCCATATCTCTAGAACCTGTTACTTTCTCCTAGTACATTGCACAGAAAAATGGAACTTCTCTTTTCTCTGTGGACAAAAGGGGACAATTTTTCCAGGCATATTACCCCGGGGCAAAGTCTCCATTGTTTTAGGCTCAACCCAAGCTAGGAGTTGTGCGGAGGGGCAGGTATGATTTTGCAGGAAGAGCTCCCAGAGTAGGGAAGAAAGCATCCTGGAGGGGTTTCAGCACTGCAGGCGTGACAGAGACACTGGTGGGAGCCAGGCTCGGGGCAGGGGCTTTTCACGATTAGGGATCATCCTTAATCAGTATTGAAAACTACAGGAAAGCCTGTATTAATCTCCTCTTTCTTCTGTGCCTGTTTTACATTTGACATGGAAAGTGATAAAATCCAGTTGACTGAAAATCCCATGGATTTGATCTTGTAGCCTTTGCCACCTTTAAATTTCGGCCACAGGTGTTTAAAACTGCAAAAGCAGAACGAAAGCTAGGACCTGGTGTTTGTTGTACAGCGTGCATCACTTAGATTTAAAAATATCCTTGTCTAAGACCAGGATTAGATTTTAATTTGCAAGCCCCAGTGTGCATTTGTGAAGGCCTTGGTGTGTTACCTAGTGGACAGCAGGTCCACATGACAAAAGGCCCAGACACACGCAGCAGTATAATAACAAGCCTGGCGGTGAGGGGGCGGCCGAGGGGGCGGCGGAGCGGCCAGCTTGCCGGGAGGTGCCAGCAGATGCAGGTAGGGTCACCGTCCCAAAGGCAGCACATTCTCATGGCAACTGGCAACCAACTGTGGTTGAAAACAAGAAAAAAAAAAGAACTTTTATTTCGTTTTCTTCAGACCTCCCTGACTTCCGAGACAAAAATATTCCCCTTAAAACAAAAAATAAAAAACAAAACCTGAACTGACTTTCTGGAAAAGTAGGGGCTTTTTGAGACAATTTATAAAATATAATTGCAATTATTTTCTAAGTAAAAATCGTTTGAATGTACAGGAAAGAGAGGAAGTTCACGGATGTCTGACATTTATGAGTAATTCAAATGTAATATGTTCTGGTATTTTACTTCCATAAAGAAGATTGATGAATAACAGAAACTGGTCAGGCTTCATGTCACTCTGCATTTTGGCTTCCTACTGGGTGCCCAATGTTGTAAATTTTTTCCTAAAGCTTTTAAAATCAGCAAGTCCATATTGAGTTGATTAGCATTAAAATTGAAGGCCAAGAAACAAGAGATTTTCAATTGTACTCAAAATTTCAAATAAATCTCAATGACAATCTATTGATTTTTTAGAAACTGTAAGAAAGGAATAACCTAATTATTAAAGCAGAAAAAAATGGCGTTAATAAAATACTCTTATTCAAGAATGTCCAGTATTTTAAAAAATCTATAAACTGATAACCTCAGATCAGGGGGAATGTTTCAGTCAGTAGAATATATTTTTATTCCTTTCCTCATATGAAACATTTTTATTACCAATTAAGAAAAAAATACTTTCTAATACTACTAAACTGAAAATGAGGATAACTTAATTTCATATTGTTCAAGTATAGAATTTGTTGATGGTGTTAAAACTATAACTTTGCATGATATTTAAAAGCCATCTATCAATAATAATCATGATGCCTAGAATTTATTACACTCTAAATATATGAAAAGCAATATCCCAAGTTCCTTATATTTAGTTCTTTTAAATGTCTCCACATTTAAGTCTAGTTCCACTAATTCTTTCTTTCTGCCTGTGAACAGCCATGTTCTCTCATTTCTTTTGTGACCACCTCTTTTTTCATCATCACCCTCTTGCCATCATTAGCTCCATCATTATTCTTGCATCTGAAACCTTTTCCTTGCTACTATCTGTTCCTTTTCTTCTTACAAACACTCTAGGGTCCTAACTGAACCTTCCTCTGCATTCTGTTATTTCCCCAAACCAATATCCTACTAATCTCCTTCCTTTCAGTACTAAATGTTTCCATAAAACAGTTGGCCTACGTTCTCTCCTTCAACTTCTCTTTCCCTTTTCTTTCTTTCTGTATTTTAATGGAGGTACTGGGGATTGAACCCAGGACCTCATGCATGTTAGGCATGTGCTCTACCACTGAGCTATGCCCTCCCCACCTTCTTCAAGTTCTGAATCAACCATCTTCTCTTTCGCCATTTGCCATTTTTCTGTTTCCTGATGACCTAATTGTTAAATCCAGTAACCTTTTCTTGTGTCTCATTGCCTTTGACTTTTCGGTAATTTTGATGTTTTTTTGATATTCTCTCCATCTTTAAATTTTTTCATCCTTAATTTTGGATCACAGTACTCTCCCAGCTCTCTTGTCCTCTTCAGGACATTTTAAAATGTTTTCTCATCTTCTTATCCTATAAACATAAAAATCATCCGAGAGTCCCTCCTTGCCTTCATCAAAACCCCTGATGTTCAGTTCCTCCTTCCAAATGATCTGTTTCTGTGGTCTAACAGGACCATCCTTTCCCAGGTCTCCTCTGGCTGGAAGCGTCAGCCTGAGACACTGTTGCCACCTCCCTCATGCCTAGAGTCCCATCAGCTCCCGTTGATTCACCCTTTCCATTCTCACTGCCATTACTTTGGCTGAGGCTCACAGCACATCATGAGTGAATTACTGCAACTGCCTCCAGTCACTCTCCTCTCTTCAGTTCACCCACTACATCACCGCCAGACTACTTGTCAGAAATCACTGCTTTGAATATTTCCTCCCTGACTCCCAACTCAAGATTTCCACCATGCTCCATTGCCTGCCAGCTAAAATCCAGACTCCCTAGGGCTCTTCAGAGAGCTCCCAGTGTGTCTCCCAGCCATATCTTACACTCCTCTACATGCTGATATTATTTGCTTTTCATCATATAAGCAAATTTTTTAACCTCTGGGCTCTCCGCTCCTGCCATGTGAAATGCCTATCTACTGCTGTCTTGGTCCTTTGAATATTCAGGGAAAACTCAGAGTCTGCATTAATTAGAGGGACTCCCCTCTCATTATCCTTAATATTAAAAGTTCTCTCTTTCTTCTGATCTCTTTGCACCACACTTTTGGCTTTTTATCATGTGTTAGCCTTGTCATTTAAGTACACGTTTTATCGCACTATTTTGCCAACTAGATGGTGAATCACCTTGCTCCTGTTTAAAGTTCTCCAGTGGCTCCCCATAGCTTTCAAGATAAAGTCTAAACTCCTCAGCTCGATGTATGATTCTCTCCGTAATCTGGCCCCTGCCTGCTTCTCCTCTTACAGCTCCCGCACTCATCTGCACGCCCCAAAGCCCCAGCCGTCCCAGTCCACCTGCAGTTCCCCAGACACCCCAGATGCTCTCATGCCTGTTTGCCTTTGCTCATCCCATTTTATCTGCCTGGAATGTCCTCACTGATTTTACTGGCGAGCCATGCCCCTCGATCAGTATTCATCCCAGGTGCCACCTTTTTCAAGATGCTGCCCCGTGAGGTGCACATCCGTCCTGCCTCCACAGTACCCGCGGTCCTGCACCGCCTTTGTCCAAATGCTGACCCGCCTTTCCTCGGGGGCCGGGGGTTTCCTAGGGGCTGCAGCGCTTTCGTCCTCCCTCCTGTATTCCTAGCACCTAGCCCAGGGCCTCTTGATGTAGGGAAACGAGGCAGGATGGGGAAAGTCAGCTGGTTATGTAGGTAGGTCTCCACAAGGTGGCATTTACTTAAGTGAGTTCATCATGACTCAGGGTTTGGCTTCCAGACTGAAGATTTGGCTTAACGTATTGTGAGTAGATCCATCTCGCAAATGTAGAACCTTATTAACCAGGCTCAGAGAGGCTACTGTATAAAACCGGCTTGCCCGTGCACTAGTTACAGAGTGGGTTGACTGGACCATTGCTGGCACTGACCTGAGCTGGGCACTCTCCCCCTGTTTACATGCCACCCAGGACGTCAGTTCTCATTATGTATTTGCGATCAGTCTGTTTTATTTCACAATGGCTAATCGTATGAATTGCATGTGGATTTTACTGGCTCAGCTCTTAAAGAACAAACAGCCTCTTTTCTAAATTATTGGGAAGAGATGGGGTACTTTCCTGTAGCTTTTATGAACTGATCACTCTGGCACTTAATAAGTCTTTAGTAAACGTGGGTGTGATGTGCCCAGGTAGTTGCTGATTAAATGAATGAGTGCAGATCCTGCCACTGATAGAAGATCGTTTGATGGAAAGTCTAGCCATGGCAAAGTAGCATATAAACATACTGCACATGACTGCGTTCCTGGAAAACCATATTTCTCTTTAAAAATTCCTTTAACTCTCTTACACACTTCTAACTATTTTCTTCCCATTCTTCCTAGTCATCACATTAGAAACCACCACCAGGTGTAGGGGACCTAACCAGGCACTTTGCAGACTGAGCTTTCTCGATGTCTTCTCCACTTTTCTTGCCTCTTCTGCTGCTCTGACAGGTGCCAGCACAAGCTTTACCTTTTCCCATTTCTCCTTTCTCCAAAAGCGGCTTTCTTTCTTCTACTTTCTAAGTCAGAATGCCCCTTAGTGCTCACCTCTAAGTTAAGTGGTCCAGTACAGATTCTGCCGATAACTGTGATGCTGCACTGGGTGCCTGCCCATCTCTGACCTCCTCCCTCCTCTCAAGGTGTACGTTTTAGAAAGAAACAGCTCTGAATAAAGTGGAAACACCAGGTTCCTCATCCATGTGATGTTAAAATCAAGTCAGCCTCCAAGAAGAAAATCAACGTTTTCATAACAATGTGCCAAGCGGGCTATTTGTCATGGATCAGATACACGAAATTAAATGGATTCTTTTTCTTTTCCCTTCGGTGGTGGTGGTTTAACACTCAGGCCTGGATGTGCAGACTGGCTACACAGTTCCAAAATTCAACTTCACTGTGGTTCTTTAATCTTATAACAAGAAAAATACATTTCTGCTCACTTCTCATTTAGGAAACCCTGATTCTAATAACCAATTTGCTGTGAACTTTTCATTCTTCTAAATGACTGAGAAACTACTACCAAATTTGGTAATGATCTTTATACAAAACAAGATTAGGAATTTCTGTCACATTATATATATATTTTTTCTCTCTCTCCATTTGTCCCTAGATTTTTTCACATAAAATAAATTTTTTACATGAAATCAACTGTTCATATAAATACATTGTGTTTCTTATCCATACTGGTTGCTTAGAAAGCTTAGACACTTACCAAAATGAATAACATAATATCTGGCTCCAATTTGTAAGAACTTACCACGGGTATGCCAATCTTTGTGCAAAGTGTTTCACATACCTTAAATATAATCCCTAAACAACCTTGGGAAGGATTTAATTCTGAAGCGGATCTCCCCATTTTACAGATAAGGGCAATGAGGTTAAGTAACTTGCCCAAGTCTCAGTTGTAGAACAGCATAGAATTTGAAGTCGGGCCCTCCTGGCTTCCTTGTCCATGCTCTTTCCCCCCGCGATATTTTTGCTTCCTGGGTGAGTTGTTTGTGTTCTCAGAAGGTCTTAACTGAAATCTCTCTACACCACAACAATGCACAATGAATATCAGCTTTCTTACAGTCTGTCCTTCTCATTCTGTCATTTTCTACCGATGGAAGAAAAAATGATTTGGGGATATCATATGTGTGGCTTTATCCGTCTGTCAGTCCTGGGCTGCCACCGAGAAAGTATGTTATATGACTTCAAAAAATTTGTATTGTGGCACACAGAGTTACCAAGAGACAGGTCTTTGGAAGCAGATAAGAGTGTGTTTTAGAAAGGTGAGCTTGCCGTCCTGTTTAATCTGTGTGTTTTCGTAGCTGAGGAAGAGTATGAAGATGGAATTGAAAGGACATGTGACACCCTCCTTATGTGCATTGTGACCGTCCTGAACCAGGGCCTCCGGAACGGCGGTGGCGTGGGAGACGTGCTGAGAAGGCCGTCGAAAGATGTAAGCTGGAGAAAAATATTCTTTTCAAGAAGCACATGATCATTTTTTTAAGCTTTCTTAACAGTATTTACAATTTTTGTTTGCAGGGTACTATATGTCATGTGGTTTGCTTTAAAAGTATAAAGGTGGCCAGTAAGACCAATTAGTTGTATACTGGGATGACATAGAAGTAGCTAATGTATAAAAAAAAAAAATCTCTGTATGTTGGTAGGGTTGTGAAATCTTTCCAAGTTTGAACAGCAACGAAACCAGGAATGCCGACTTTATAGCGGAGTCGATTCTTACATAAATAATGGAAACCAGGCTGCCTCTTGTCCATCAGGTTTCTCGGGCGTGAAGATTTACTCTTTGCCTCTGAATAGAAACAGCCTCCATTATTTATCCATGATGAATATCGAATCAGAACAAATTCTAACAGGACTTACTAAATTAAAATGACAAGGCTGAAATTTTTCTCACTGGCTGCAAAATCTCAGGTGCCGTGCCGGGAGCCTGGACAATCTCAGTCCTCCAGCAGGCTGGCCGTATCATCTTGTCCATTCGTCTGATATTTCCTCATCTAGGAAACAGCTGGACTGTATGATCTCTAATGCACATTTGAATACCGTTTGTCAAGTAAAAATAAGCTTGAGTTGTACGTCCTCGACCCTATAAGGGAATAAAATCTCCTCTAAAAGTAGACAGATCATTAGGTCATCCTCCACCCTCTAATCTCTGACCTTTGGAACTGATATTTTTCTGCCTCTTGTGCAGCTTCTGGTATTGGGGGAATCACTGCACCAAAATGCATTTAGCACAATGACATACTGAACAGGTTTTTAATAGATGGTAAGTCCCTCCAATGAGGAGGAAATGTGCAAGTCCTAGAGACTGGAAGCGGTCTGGGAGTAAGCTGGGAAGTTTTCCTCACAACACTTGACAGTGAGGATAGAAAGTGGGTCTTATTTTTCCAACTAGGAATATTGTTTTTATTCATTTAGCAAACAATTATTGAACATATACGCTCTACTAGACAATATGCTTAATCAATGTGCCTTGAAAAATGTGCGTGTACATAAATATACACAAGATTTTTTTTTTAACGTCTTAAAATTTTTTTAATTTCAGGAGCCCTTGTTTGCTGCCCGAGTGGTATATGACCTTCTCTTCTATTTCATCGTTATCATCATCGTACTTAACTTGATTTTTGGTGTCATCATTGATACTTTTGCTGATCTCAGAAGTGAAAAACAGAAAAAAGAAGAAATTCTAAAGACAACCTGCTTCATCTGTGGTAAGTGTTGTCCAGATACTAAAATAATAGATTAAAAAACTGCCCCATAAGAAAGGAGGGGCTAGAATGGTTTTTATTTGTTCAGGCTTTGGGAAAAAAATACTTCAAAATGAAAGCTGGACAAAATTCAGATTATGTAACTGAGCATTGGACTGGGGCGGTCTGCTTCCAGAAATAGACGGTTACATCTCAAAGCTATCTTGTCGTTATTTCTGCAGTTTGTAGTATGATTCTCTGACTATAGAATGTGTTGCCAAATGCCAAAAGGTTCCGCTGACTGGCAAACAAGAGTTTTAATCACAGTAACATATTGATTAAACAATAGAAGGATTTTTTAATTTTATTTCATTAGATTGTGAATCCACAGATGATTTTTCCAACAGCTTGAACTTCTGCTCACTGGCAGCACTTTGGTTTCGATGCTGAACTGTGCTGTCTCTCAGTTTCTCTCCCTCCCTCTCTCCCTCCGTCCCTCACACCCCGTCCTCCCCTCTTCTGTCACGAGGTCCACCTGGCCTTCTCTTTGTCTTTATTATTTCCCTTGGCTCCACCCTCTGCTCTACCCTTTCTGGCTTTAGTTGTCTCTGTAGCTGGCTTAGTCACCCTCGGCTCCTTTCCCCTCCCTGAATAATCACTGACTCCTCGTTACACTCCGCTTCGATTTTTCCATGTCGAGCTGAAGAACCTTTTGATAAAAGTCACAAAACAAGGATAAGGGCTTCCCTACAACATGATTCTATGTAACTGAAATTGGACCCCCAGTAAATCCCCTTCCTTCCTTGGTTCACTTTGGTCAACTGTCTCCTTTCCTCAAATGGCTCTTCCAAACTTTTCCAATGGTCCTCCAACAGGTGGAGGTGTGCCAAATAGTAACCTGTAAGAATGGGCCATATGCCAAGGAAACAAGCAAAATTAGACATTCCCTTTTTCAGGGCATTCACAACCTGTCTTGGAATGCAAACACAATAAATATCATTGCTATCTAATGCATTAAGGGAAATGATAAAGTTCACAGTTTGTTAACACCTCGCTGGGTTGTGGTAGGGGGCAGGCAAGAAAGAGACAGGAAAGATTTCTCAGAAAAGATGGTGAGAGAGAGCTGTTGGTGAACAATGGAAGGGGAGAGGTCATATCAAAGTGGAAAGAAGTGGGGAGGAGGGTGTAGCTCAGTGGTAGATCATGCGCTTAGCATGCACGAGGTCCTGGATTCAGGGTCCCCAGTACCTCCATTTAAAAAAAAAACTTAAAAACAAAAAAGACTCCGTGGTATCCAAAGTGGGTAGAAACAGAGTGGCCAGCACAAGGAAAGGCATGGAGGGGAGACCAGCCCAATGATAGTCTTCATTTACTGTGAACAGCTCCGTGTTGCTGGAGCATACGTGTCAGAGCAGGGCATGCTAACAAAAGAGACTAGCCATATCATATGGATCATATGGTCTTCTATATTAAAAAGCTTTATCCTGTGGACTTATGGAAGATGGTAAACCATTAAAGAATTGTAAGTAGAGGAGTGCAGGGTCTAATTTTTACTTTAGAACTCTGTAGCAACTGTGGGAATTTGTTCATCAGAGGACAATATTGGAGGCAGAGTAATTAGGCAGAAGATTACTTCCATGAGAGGTAAAAAACCTTGATCCTGGAAATTTAGTGGTGGCCATATTCTGGATAAAGGACAGACTTAAGAAATATTGGGGAGATAGAACTTTTATAGCTCAGTGGTTTGGAATGGATATGAAAGAGCCTGGTTGCCTGGATGGATGGTCGTACCAACAGTTGAATTTGAGAATAGAAGGGGAAAAACAAGTTTAGTTAGAAATATGCTGAATTTGGCTTTGGAAGCACTAAAATTGAGGTATGTCTGAACACCCCAGTGGGATCCACTCAGCACAGAGGTCAACATATGGGTCTGAGCCTTAGAGAATGAGTCTGCACTGGAGACAGTGTCTGGGGACTCCTCAGCCTGTGGGTGATAGGAAAAACTGGAGTGTGGAGGAAGACTTCCATGTGAGAGGAGACAGAGTTCAGGTGGAGAGCATCAGAACTGAAAAGCTGAAAGGGAAAGAGGATCACACACAGAAACACCGTCAGGTCCCACCGGTGTGAGGAGAACTGGGCGTGTGCGGCACGTGGAAGTGACGGGACAAACAGCCTTGGGAAGAAAGGAATTGATTATCAACTAGGTCAAAGCAGAGAAGACCAGTCACACGTGACACATGAACTGGAGCAGAGTCTTTGGTTTCTCATTTTAGGAGGTTTAGGAGACTTGAAGAGAGGAGTTTGCATGGGGGTGAGGGCAGTTGGCAGACTGCATGGTGCTGGGGAGGGATTTGCTGAAGGAAACGAGGGAGAAAGAAGAGTCTTCTCTTTATATGTCTAGATTAGATGGAGGGAAGCCAGATCAACATGGCGCCAGGAAGACGGCGTACAATAACTGGGGGTTTGGAGAAGAGAGTTATTGTATAGGAGGGTGAGTCCCATGGAGGAAGGAAGATACTGCCCTTGAAGATCTTCCTGTGTCTCCTGGACTTGCTTCTATGCTGCTTCCTCGAAGCCTTTTTCTTCACAATTATTGTAACGACTGCGTCAGCAAACCACCTCTGAAAAATGGGTTGTTTGGAAGAATCAGTGGAATGTGAGCATCATTCCAAGACCCGATCCCATCTCCCCTATTCTAACAACAAAAACCAAGAAGAGCAAAATGAGCATTGCTCATTAAGCATGGCTTTCCCACCTTTCCTGCTCCTCTAAGTTTTCCCTTCAATGTCAAAATTCTCTCTGGCTCTTTGCAGTTATCAAAAAACTTGTAACCTATAAATTCCTTTAAATACCACAATAACCTTCATCCCCAAATTGAAATGTTTTTCTCAGATCTCATCATTAACTTCCTGCTGACCTTTTCTTCTACCTCAGACTACACATCCTCTGGTTCCACGACAAGGTCCCAGCACTTCTCCCAACCCCTGGATAAGAGGTTCTGACTTTTATCATCGACTTCCTGTCTCTTCCCCTCTGCCCTTCTCTTTAACAACGCTTTATGCAGATCATTGCCAAATATGCAACCATGGTTCCAACCTCCCTCCTGGCTTTTGTCCTTTGTTTCCAATTATTGATTGACGTTTAGAAAGGTGTGACTACCCAGCAGCCAGTTTCTACAATATCTGCAAACCGGTGCATCCATCATGCCTTTCCATCTCTTTGCTCTAACCCAGCTGCTTATCCTGACTTCCATATTGCAATGAACGATATCCCACTGTGCCTTCAGTCACCTGGGCTGGGAACTTCTCCACCATTTTTTTTTTTTTTTGCATCTCCTTTTTCCTCTTCCCGGTGCACTGGTTACCATGTGCTAGTGAATTTGCTTTCACCATCTCACTTCCTTCCACCAAGTCCCACAGCCACACCTTGGTTTTTCAGGCTCACCCTGGCTCACACCGCCAAATGGTCTGGTCAGGGCTGCCTGACAAATTTTTCCACTTGAACTCATCATTTCCTTATGCAAAAGGCTGTCGAGGGCACCGTATAGGCACATGAGGTACCACAGTTGGGCCCCTTTCTCTTCTTGCCTGCCTTTTCACCCACTGCTCGCCCATTTGTAGCTCAAGTTCGGCTCAACTGCATTACTCATCTTTCACTCTCTCTCCACGTGTTCCCAGTTACGGTGTTTCTGTTCGGAATGCCTAGACTTCTAAGTTGTTGAACTACCTTCTCTCTGAGACCCAGATCTAGAGCCACGGCTCCACAAACTCAGCCTTCTCTGATCTCCCTAACCAGAAGCAAACACATCTGCTCCTAAGTTCCTCAGCCACACTTAGCTGCATGGTGCTGTGCACATTTTTCATTGACTTAGCTCCTCTGTTGGATGTGCATTGCTGTATTAGAGAAGGTATATGAACTTTACGGTCAAGTAGACATGGGTCTACACTGGGCCCACATCCTGACTTTGTGATCTTGGCCAAGTCTTCTTTCAACTTGAAAGTGAGGGATGTAATGCCATGTTTGGGGGTCACGGTGGGCATAAATGAAATCATGCTTATAGAAATTCCTAGCTCAATGTTTAGCTGAGCATAAAATCTCAATACAGGTTGACTTATCTTCTTTAAGGAGATCCAGATCTACGTCTTATCCATTTTTATGCCTTCGTAGTATGTATTAGAGATCATTCATAAATATTTGCTTGAAGGAATGACTATCCAGTTAGCCACCTCCAAATTAACATTGTCTCTATACTGATGTGGCTTATAATCTATAAAAGGATTATATATAATCCTATAAGCAAGTCAAGTCCTAAATTGATATATTCTACAGACAAAAAACTTAGATGCACTAGTTCCAAGTTATTCCAAGTTCTGTCACATTCAGGGTATTGTTTCTGTGGCAAACACGTGTCCACAGTGATACACGGTTATATACCAGGAGGTACAAGGAGATACTAGATTAACATGGTCTATTTTCCAGAATCTTAACATTTATTCAAAAATTTGAGAGATAAGTTAACCTAAGAGCATATATAAATAGTATTTTTATGTTAGAACATTAAATAGAATCTTGAAAGTAAAACAAATTTAGTGTGAACATTAGAAGTAAAATAGAAACTTATTTAAATATTGAAAAGTGGTTCTAGGCTCTTTTAGCTGCTAATCCCTGTGACCTCAGGGACGTAGAGTTCTTTACTCTCTGCTCTCAAAGGACCTTCAGCAGAAACGTGAGAAGTGTTATGATAATGTGTCTCTAGATGTGCATTCATTCCTGGAATCACTTACTGCATAGAAGATCTGCTATATACCGTATATATTTTAAGAGCTTAATTACAAGAATGATTTAAACCCTTGGGATATTTGGGATTTGTACTACGTAGGCTGTAAGATAGTTGTGATTAATCTAGAAATGGTCCTTGAAAGATTGGGTGTTAAATTGGGATCCAAAGGGGGAGATTGTATCAAATAACAGAGGAGAGAATTGGCCCCAGGAATGTCCCAAGGGCACCCATAGTAGCAAATGAGTGGGTAGATATCATGACGGGCAATGAGAGCAGATGGGACTTTCCTGCCCTTGAAGACAATGACCAGATGCTTGAGGGTTATGATTCAGGGAACAGTTGCCAGTGATCCAGAAGGTGGTCACAATAGGGTGATGATCAGCTGATGACAGAGCTGAAGCAGTGAGCATAGAAACAGATTGCCTCTGCTGTCCACATTAGCTATTAATTTGGAATTACTAGGAGTTGGAAATCCAGACCAGACAGACCAGGGGTGACAAAATAGCAAAATGGAGAAAGGATGTGATGATAGGTCAGAATTCCTATCATAAGGAGAGTCAAGTTCCCAGAGTTAAAGATCTTTCTGGATGATTTAATAGGAGATAAAGGCTATATTGGGGGGTGAGCTATGTTCTTCTCTTGGTATATTAGTCCCTTATCTGTACTTTATGCATATTTTAGTATGTTTATTATCTACACTTATTCATTAAAGTCATTCAATGGAGAAATCATCAGTGTGATGGTGGTTGAAACCATGGAAATGGGTGATAACGTCTGGCGAACAAGACCCAGTGCAGATGAGACAACCGGTTTCCCTCCATTGCCTTCCCCCTCCGCTGCCCTGGTCCCCTGGACTCCCACCCTTAGCCTCTTCCCCCACAGTCTTCCTCCGAATCCTGCCACAGGAAGGTACTTAAAGCACAGCTCCCCTTCTGCTAGTCTCCACTCCAAAGGCTTCAGAATAAAGTGCAGGCTTCTTAGCTTTGTGTTTAAAGCTTTTCATGGTTTGTGCCAAATGTGCCGTTTCATCCTCGTTGCTGAGTGTTCCCTCCTGGCCACACCAGAGGAGTGGGCACTCCCTCCAACAGGGCGTCTGCTTTCATCTCTAGCTTTGCTGTGCCATTTCCTCCACCCCGAGGCAAAAGAACATGGCTTTGGAGTCAGAAGAATTTTTATTTAAATACTGGCTGACTTTCCCACTCAATTTAGGAGTTCACTTGAGCAATTAATGGACTCCCTCTGAATCTGTTTCCTCGCGTGCTAAAAGGTCAGATTGGATTATTGTGATTACTAGAGCATATTTAGACATCTTACAGTTGTCAGCAAACATAGCTGCTCAGTAAAAATTAAGCGCCTTTTCTTACCATTTATCGCTTCTCCATTTGCCGTAATCATGTCCCATAAGCCAGACATCGAAAGCTTTATGCCTCTTTGAAACCTTTTAAAATGTACCTGTTCGTTTGACTCTCTCTCCTTCATGCTTCTTTGGATGTTTATACCATTTCAGAATATAACACAAGTTGTCTGTTTCCTCGACCATATTGCAGATTAATTGATGGAAGACGTTGCCTTTATAATCCTATGTACCTTGCAACAGGTAGGCAACTGTTTGAACTGAATTCTAGGAGACGTCTACTCTAAAATTTTCTCCTTTTTTTTTTTTGGTAATAGCTCTATTGAAATATAATTTACATACCTCACCACTCACCCATTTAAAGTGTACAGTTCAATGGGTTTAGCGTAGTCAGAGTTGTGCATCCATCATCACAGTCAATTTTAGAACATTTTCATTGCCTCATACCCTTTAGCCATGACTGCTTCCTCCCTTCGCACCAAACCTTCCATCCTCCACAGCCCACATCTAGAGATGTGCCTGTCCTGGACATTTCATATACGTGGAATCATGTAACCTGTGGTCTTCTGTCACTTGCTTCTGTCACTTTTGTTTTCACAGTTCATGTTGTAGCATGTATCAGCTCCTCCTTTCTTTCATTGCAGAAAAATATCCATTGTATGGATATACCATATTTTGTTTATCTTTTCACCAATTGAAGAGCATTTGAGTTGTTTCAGCTTTGGGGCTGTTATGAATAATGCTTCTGTGAACATTCATGTATGTGCTTTCGTGTGAACATACGTTTTTCGCGCGCGTGTGTGTGTGTGTGTGTATGAACCTATGTTTTTCTCTTGTCTATATATATATACACCCAAGAGTGGAGCTGCTGGTACATGTGGTAACTGTATGTTCAGCCTTCTGAGGAACTGCCAAATGTTTTCCGAAGCTGCACTTTTTCACATTTCCATCAGTGGTGTATGAGGGCTCCAGTGTATCCATGTTGTCATCAACATTGCTGTTCTCTGTTTTCAATTATGGCCATCCTAATGGAACAATATTTTATTAGTGACGTTCTTTTCTAATATTATTTTTTGTATTTTTATTGAAGTACAGTCATTACAATGTTGTGTCAATTTCTGGTACACAGCACAGAAGTTCATTCATACATATACATACATATGTTTGTTTATTCTTAATTCATTAGTCAGTATTCTGTTCAGTGCTGACCATGTACCAGGCATCATTCTAAGCTGTTGGGACCACTGGTGAAGAAAAGAGACAATATCCCTGCCTGTGGAGATGCAATAGATAATGAACATAAGAAGCTTACATCTAAGTTCCTGGATTAAATGATACCTCTTTCTTCTGTGCTGATTAGCAGGCTGAGATTTTTCTTGCACAAGCATTTTTTCCTCTGTCTGAGACTTGAGGTCCAGTTTAATGGAACACCTTTGACATGGCTCTGTTCAGTCTGGTAGGGGGTGATAAACACTCTAGGGAAAAGAAGGGAAAAAGGAAAAAGTGATCAAAAGTACCAGCAAAAGGGAAAGGACAGGAGAGTGGATTAAATAAAGTGATCGAGGCCAGCCACATTGAGAAGGTGAGTTAGTCAAAGAGATACTCAGAGAAGAGTATTGTGGGCAGAGGAAACTGCCAGTTCAAAGGCCCTGAGGCAGGCGTCTGTGTGTGTGGAACATCAAGGGGGCCATTGTGGCTGGACAAGCGTTAGCGAGGGAGAGGGTGGTGGGAGAGAGGGTCAGAGAGACTGGAGGGCCAGATCGCTTAGGGTCCAGCAAACAGATACTGCCTGGGCCGTACCCAAACTCAGCAATTATCCATTGTTTTTCCAAAATTTAAACTTCCCTGGGCGTCCTGTGTTTTACCTGGCAACCCTCCTTGTCGGCCGTTGCAAGAACTCGGCCCTTTATGTTGAGGAGGTGAGGAGCTACTGCAGGGTTCAGGGCACAGGAGGGACACCTCAGGTTTCTACTGGATCCGTCTGGCTGCTGTGTTGAGAACAGGCCGTAGAGAGCAGAAGTGGAGACAGGGAGCCCTGGGGGTTATTTCTGTAATCCAGGTGGGAGGCAGTGATGGCTCAGACCAGAGGGGGCGCCATGGAGGTGGCAAGAAGCAATGAGATTCTGGACGGATGTTGAAGACAGAGCCCAAAGAATTTCAGTGTGAATTGGATGTGGCCTGTGAGAGGCGGGGAGGACTCAGGGATGACTCCTCGACATCTGGCTTGGACAGCTGGAGGAGCAGAGATGCCATGGAATGGAGAGAGGACGTGGGTGGAGTGGCTTTGGGGAAGAAGACTGGATTTCCTTTGAAGCACGCTGAGCTGATGATAGGTCAAATAAGATGAGGCAGAGCCACCAGCCTGCTACATTTTATGGTATTTCCCGTAAAAATATCCAGTAATATAATTTAAAAGGTCATGCCTTCATTGGGGACAGATTTTCTCTTTTTTTAAGAAACTTATTGTACTTTGTATCTTTTTGTTTAAAGGATCTTCTTCATGTTGAATGGCCAAATGGCATTTGTTTTTTTTAAATATGCTTAGGAAAAGAGTAGCCAGGTTTGGAATTCAATTTCCAGATTGCTTCTCCAGTATCTGAGCTGCAAAACCAGACTGAATCCCGACATCCCATTTTACTTGGCAGCCTAATTCATTTTTTCCGTAGATGTTTTTCTTCATCTCCATTCATTTGCTTTCATCCATCCTTCAATCTTTGAGAGAAAAAAAGTCTTACTACCCAGATCCTCTCCTCAGTGTCCTTCACGTGGCTAAAAATACACCCTGGGGAAATTGAGCCGCTCAGCCCCTCCCCAAAATGCCTGGAACACGGTCGTCTAAGGGGTGGGACGAGCCTGTGAGTCCTTGTTGCCCCGGGAGCCCAGATCGCTGTGGTCCCTTACTTGCCTTGCACTGATTACAAGTGGTTTTGAAAAGATGACTCTCTTAGCTGCCTTCTCGCTTTTTACCCAAGTTCTTGGATAAAAATGAGATTCTTTTTTTCCTGTCCTGATTACCAAGCGTGCCTTTTCTCGCACAATCATTCTGACTTCTTTTTCTTCGACTTTGTGGTCCAGTTTAATTGGACAGTTTTGATATGGCTATATTTAAAATTATCTGCAAATTTTACATCTGTCATCGGACTGTGTATTTCCAAGGATCCATGCAGGGGAAAAATGTTAATTGGGGAGAAATTAAAAACTCTGGCATTTTTTCTGGAGGACTTGTGTACCCTGTTGTTTTTAATCATAGCATCTTAAAGTATCATACACTTGCAGAAAGCATTTTTTTCCACAATAATTATGCTTTGTTTTTATGCCAAGAGGGGAGTGCTGATTAAATGACAAATGTATACACGTTGCGTCCCCTGTGTTTTGCAGGACTCGAGAGGGACAAGTTTGATAATAAAACGGTTTCTTTTGAGGAGCACATCAAGTCGGAACACAACATGTGGCATTACCTGTACTTCCTCGTTCTGGTGAAGGTCAAAGACCCCACGGAGTACACCGGACCTGAAAGTTACGTGGCTCAGATGATTGTGGTGAGTGCCTGGAGGGCGTGAGTCTGTGACTACGTTGCATTTCGTTTGTTTCATCTCTCTACCCTCCCGTTCTCCCAGAATGTAACGGTTCTAACAGTTATTTTGTTAACTTCTAAATAGGACTGTCAGTCTTTGAAGAACCCCTATACTGGCTAAATCATTGGTTCCCAGTGGGCTTCTTGGTTATACAAACCACGTCTAAGGCTCAGGTGCAGGAATATTTCCTGAAAAATTCTCTGTGCAGTGACTGGCACTGTCTCAGTCATGACTGTCATCTTCTGACCCCATGCCTCCTGTCATCACTGCTGTCTCAGTTCCCAAAACCGGAAACTTTCCCATTGGCAAAAGAAGACTCACAATTTAAGAAATTTCTTGAATTTCAGAAATCAGGGTTTAAGCAGTTAAACTGTGCTTGGGGAGAGGAGAATGTTCAGTCCCAGTGGGAGAGCATTGGCTTTTTGTCAGCATACATTTTGGGTAGATTTACCAGGGCGGAGGATGGGTTTGCACTGACCCGCTACCTTCAGTTGCTTGTAACTCCTCATTAAGCTCAGTAGCATCCCCCAGAGGGTCTGGTGGTCCATGATTCGAAATTTCTTCTTTCATAGATGAGAACTAACTGACTTAAAGAGAAGTCAACGTTGCAGCTTTAGTGTATCCATGATACAAATTAGTGAATACTGTTGCATCTGATATAAATTCTTATATTCTTGTGTTCAACATAGCTGTATATTTGATTTTTTCTCAGAATCACCCTCCAAACTTGTGTCAACCATTTGAAAGTGAAGCCTCAGAAGAGTCATGACCCTCTTTGATGCTCAGTTCTGAGGATAACATTTAGTAAAGACCAAAGGGTTAGGAGAGCCAGGTGACAGTGGGTCCCTAGCCTTCCCTCCAGGAGCTTGTCCTCCTCTTGGGAAGATGTGAACTACAACATAGGCGACAACCGAAGAATATTTTTAGTGGCTAATACCTTACTAAGTGCAAGTTAATATTGCAATAGTTTACCTTACCTGACAATATTCTTGTGTCACGGGAGAGCTACATGTAAATGGAATCTTTGTAGTTCAGCATTTTTCATGATTTTTTATTATTGACTTGCATCCTGCTGTAAGTTATTCTGTCTCCATTCTTCACATGACTGTGGGCAGAACCTGACATTGTTTCTTTTTCCACTTATCCTTTTCTGCCCTCTCTCCCTTCTTTTCTAGGGGGGGAAGGTAATCATTTCGAGGGTATGCACTCATCGTCATTATTTCTACATTCTTGAGCTCAAGATGCTCAGAGACTGTTTGTGTGAAACATTTTGTTTCTGCTGTCTCTAGGAAAATCATGTAAAGCATTGCATTTAAAATGTGACCTCACATTGCTGTATTTTATCAAAGTTTGAAGTTTAAATTTAATTAATACATATTTTTCGGGCATTCATTATGTCCCGTGGACTAAAAGATATCAGTGAATACACTGAAGAGTCTGAAACATTCCTTCTCTGCCAAGGAGCTTAGAGCTTACTAAGAAAGGGAGGGGAATAATACATCGAATGTAGATCAGGCTAAGTTCCCTAAGAATGGAACAGATGAAAACCTATGAAGGCTTAAAGATGTAGCATGACTTCCAGCTGAGAGGTGGTGGAGGGAAACTGATATGTGTGTGTGTGTGTGTGTGTGTGTGTGTGTGTGTGTGTGTGTGTGTGTGTGTGTGTTGGGGAGCAATACCTGAGACAGGGCAGGATTTGTGCAGATAGGGAGTGTCTGCTGGATTAAGTGTGGGTTCCTGTAAGAGGGAGAAGTCTCAACAAAAGCATAAAAAATAGGACTTTGAGGGACTTGGGGGATAGAGAGTCACTGACATGGTTAACTTGTAAGTAAGCTCTTAGAGATATGACCAAAAAAAAATAGATTGCACTTTGGAGTAAGAAGTGTAGGTGCGTGGGCGTCATTTTGTCTCAGCAATGAGAAGCCACTGAAGGTTTTCCCTTAAGGGAAGAATGTGGCCCAGAACACTACCCAGGCAGCAGTGTGTAGGCTGGTTTGGAGAAGGGAAGGGGGAAGTCTGGGGTATTTGGTAACTGATGAGACTGGGGAAGAGGATGTGGAGGAGCAGGGAAGGTGGAGGGCTGAAAGAGGAGCTGAAGATGCCTGACATTGTGAGCCTGGTCATTGGGAGAAAGGTATGAATACGTTCCAGAAAGTCTCTGTTGGGAGAAGCCAGTCAGAGAAGAAGACTTGTTGATTTTGGAATGAGAGTCATAGGTTAGGAGAGATGGTGTAATGACAGCAGCCTGAGCCTTACAGCCAGAAAGATCTGGACTCAGACACTGGCTCTATCACGTTCCTGCCTTGTGGTCTTAATATCTTGGGTGAGTCTTTGAACTTCCCTGAGACACTGCCTCCTCTCCTAAAAGGCAGAAAATTGGTGTGAGATCAGGGAGATGAGAAGTGGAAAATGTCCAGCTCCTGGTAGGTACATAGTCAGAGACAGTTTTCACTGTGATTGTCCTCGTGGAAGGACAATTGAAGCCATCAGGTAGGGGGAGGTGGAAGAAAGAAGAAATGTAATGAGAGGAGAAGAGAAAGTCAGAGACAGAACCTAGGGAGCTTCCATTTAGGGAAAAGGAGAAAGACAAGTGAAGTAAGTAGAAATAAAGACAATAAAAAGTGCATAAGGAAGACCAGGGAGTGGAGTGTGTTAGAAGCCAAGAGATGAGCATTTCAGTGTCAGATTTCAACAGCATCAGTTGATGCAAAGAGGCCATAAAGAAGAGACAGGTCAAAGCCTTTGGGTTTTGTGATAAGGAAATCACTTTACCATGAGAGAGGACCGCTGCGAAAATGTTGACCCATCTTTACCCTTCACATTAGAACCAGCGTTGTGCCAGGCTCTTGTGCTTGGCTTTTTAAGACATCCTTACCCGTGTTTCTGTCCATCCTTTTCTGTCCAAGTTCTCTCCAGAACCATGACAGGAGGGAGGGGAGCCCACAAGCTTATTCATGAAATGTCTCATTCTCATCCAGGCAGTGCTCATCCAAGGGAACAGGCACCAGTCCTGGATTTTAATGGCCAGGAGAAGGGCGATATTAAGCTTAGCACTGATGGAAACTAACAGTCATTCACATGTAAGAGTGTTCATTTAGAAGTAACCTTTTTGGAAAATTTCTCAAAAACTGTGGTTGACAAACCCAATTCAGAAAGTCTGTTGCTCCAAGCTTGGGGGAGATTATGGCCTCCTAATCTTTTTTTTTTTTTAACTGAAGTACAGTCAGTTACAATGTGTCAGTTTCTGGGGTACAGTATAATGTCCCAGTCATGCATATACATACATAAATTCATTTTCATATTCTTTTTCATTAAAGGTTATTAGAAGATATTGAATATAATTCCCTGTGATATACACAAGAAATATTTTTAATCTCTTTTTATATATAGTGGCTAACATTTGCAAATCTCAAACTCCCAGATTTATCCCTTCCACCCCTTTTCCCCCGGTAACCATAAGATTGTTTGCTATGTCTGTGAGTCTCTTTCTGTTTTGTACACGAGTTCATTAGTGCCCTCTTTTTTTTCTTGTTTGTAGATTCCACATATGAGTGATATCATATGGTATTTTTCTTTCTCTTTCTGGTTTACTTCACTTAGAATGACAGTCTCCAGGTCCATCCATGTTGCTGCAAATGGCATTGTTTTATTCTTTTTATGGCTGAGTAGTATTCCATTGTAGAAATATACCACAGCTTCTTTATCCAATCATCTGTTGATGGACATTTAGGTTGTTTCCATGTCTTGGCTCCTGTAAATAGTGCTGCTGTGAACATTGGGGTACATGTATCTTTTTGAATTAGAGTTCCCTCCAGATGTATGCCCAGGAGTGGGACTGCTGGATCATAGGGTAAGTCTATTTTTAGTCTTTTGAGGAATCTCCATACTGTTTTCCATAACGGCTGCACCAAACTACATTTCCACCAGCAGTGTAAGAGGGTTTGCTTTTCTCCACACCCTCTCCAGCATTTGTCATTCATGGACTTTTGAATAATAGCCATTCTGACTGGTGTGAGGCGATACCTCGTTGTAGTTTTGATTTGCATTCCTCTAATAATTAGCGATATTGAGCGTCTTTTCATGTACCTATTGGCCATTTGTATGTCTTCATTGGAGAATTGCTTGTTTAGGTCTTCTGTATGACCTACTAATCTTGAGCCTCCCAGAGAGAGATTTCAGAGCACATGGCAAGTTGAAGCATGCCTAAAGCTCAGTTCAAAGACTGTATTTTCTCTCTCTCTCCAGGTCAGAAGCAACTACTCTTAACAGTTTGGTAGAAAACCTTCCAGACATTTTCCTACCACTTTTGTTTTGGGGCCTTAAAAATAGATTCATTTACCAAGTTGATGCAAGTGCCTGTTTATCAACAGAGCTTTAAGAAGAAGTTTTTACTTCTTCACCGTTGGTGTAGCTTTTATCCTCAAGGAATTATGCAGAAGAAAATTTAAAAGTTCTTCATATTGGTCACGAAACAGCTCATCTTATTTCTACTGCTCTTTAAGTAAATCTAAGGGCCTTTGGCAAATGCTTCCTGTCTTCTGGTGAAGTGAGAAAAACAAGAATATAACAAGTTTGGGAATGTTTCTCCCCTCTGAATATGTTTTCATCACCAATACTTCAACTTTATTCTTTTGTTTCCAGATCCATAGGGAATATTTATACTAATAAGCATTAAAACATACATTCTAAACAAATTAACATATTGCTTCTAGGGGTTAGAATCTTAGGAAATGTATTTAAGCCTCTCCATCCATCCAGTGATGGGATCAAGACTCCGAAATATTAACAGAAACTTAAAACTTCCTCACCCTTGCCTTCCAACCCTACACCAAGGTGTTCAATTATCCACTGCCTCAGTGTCTGAATTAACACAAAGCACCTTCTGGGATATTGTTAGGGGTGATATGAGAAGATCAGGGTACTTGGGGAATATATTTTCTTCTGGCAAACAAACTCTCATTTTT